AATTTATTCAGTGAGACATGAGACATCCTGCAAACAGAAAGACATGATTTTAAAATAGTTTTAATAGCAGTTTTTATTTTTTGTGTAACACATGTCTAACCAGTAATTAATCCCAGATTCATTCAAATAAATTCCATGGTTTAAGAGATATTTTGCTAACAGTGCACACAGACACACACAGATAGGAACCTTCTCACTGCTGTAGTGATGTTAAAACAAACTGTACAGTATAGTGTTGTAACAAACTTGTTGTCCTACAGCTTCACAGAGTCTCATCAGTCTCATTTTACCATGAAAATGTTCCAAACCTACACTCTAAAAATGAAATGTTGGATTTACTTAACCATGTTATGCTACCTGGTTCCACTTAACTGAGTTGAGTAAATTCAAAGCAACATACTCATGTTCTTTGGCTAAAAACTGGTATATTGCTTTGAATTTACTCAACTCAGTTAAGTGGAACCAGGTAACATAACATGGTTAAGTAAATCCAACATTTAATTTTTTACAGTGTACACYCATCAAACAGTAAACAGGTCAGTCACGTGTTCTTTTAAAATGGTAGTTTAATATCTGTAGTTTTGAATCAGGTAATATTTGTGTGCTGCTCAGTAAGATCTACCAGGTTAAATAACGGTTTAAAATTTAAACCTTAACCAGGGGTCTGCAACCTTTACAGTCAAAAGAGCCATTTCTGCAACTTGGGTCACTAATAAAATGTTTGTGGAGCCATAAAACATGCAACAACTACGATTATCAACTGCTGGTTTGTGGGCCACTTTGAGTTTGCTGAAGGGGGGCCTTTCTGGCCAGGAGGGTGATGTTATAAAACTAAATATAAATAGTGAATTTTAATGTTTGCCTTTGTGTTCATTGAAATGTTTTTTTTTTTACTAGATTCTAGCCAAGATTCTGATGTTTCTGTAGATACCAAACAGGTCTATGTTTAACTAAAAGAACTTATAGTAATTAAAGTAGAAAACCAGGGGTTTGGGCTTAAGAGTTGAATGAACCAATTGGTGGGTCGAACTTTGGTCACAAGTTGAATAGCCCTGCTTTAGGACAAAAGAAAACACCATATTCTTCTGAACCATAAAAATACTGCATAAAGTTCATACCAAATTTAATATAACTACAACTAAACTATTCAGACATACGTTTTTCTAATTTTAATCATCTAGTCCAGTCGTAGAGGTTATTCCGATGGATTTGAGAGAAGATCATATTTTAAGGCTGGAAGTTGGATTATTGAAGTGGCTAACAGGCTACTAGCATGAGCTAATCAACATATTTCACTCTTTTTTTTTTTTTAGTAATGTCGATCACGTATTTGCAAACAAATTGACAGAAAAGCTGCTTGTTAGGCTGAGGTGCAGAATGAACCCAAATCCGGACGGAGGATGAGATTTAAATAAAAAGATTTATTTAAACAAACAAAACAAAGAGCTGCCAGGGCAGCTAAAATAAAACTCTGAGGGACAACGAGGACAACAAAAACCAGTATGAGTAATCCATGCAATGATCCAGCAAGGAATGAACTGAAGAGAAAGGTATTTATACAGACAGAGGAATGAGGAAATGAGGAACACCTGGGAGCAGGACTGATTGGAGATGACAACAGGTGAGGATGATGAGCAGGAACCAGACTGAGGGGAATGTGTGATAACAATGAGGGAACACAAGAGGGAGATAACACAGACTGAAAAATAACACACAACCTCACACTGCTAAAGCTAGATTTTTCTTGTTGTGAACATAAAAACACGCAAAATGTAATCTCTGGTTAGCTTTGACTGAAGCTTCAAAGAGCCGCTGCAGAGGATCCAAAGAGCTGGTGCGGTCCTAGAGCCGCAGGTTGCGGACCCCTGGTTTAAATAAATAAAAATAATTAATTTTATGTGTTTTTCTATGGAACTCCTCATAGGCTTACTCTATTACAGAAGCTAGAAGAATCTGCTGTTGTATTGAGGACATCAGCTGTTGCCGGTTTGTTAAACTTTCTGCTGCCTCGGGTTAGTTTTGGCCTTGAACCATAATGCAACAGCAGCACTGGACTGGGGAATGAAATAAGTTCAGTTTGTGAACAGTAGAGTAAGAAACAGACTCTGTTTCTTTACATCAGACTCAAAGAGCAGTAAGATCTAAATGTCCACTCCAGCCTGTCTACAGACCGGATGTTGAGTCCTGCTTTCAGGCCCCGAGTCCAGTATTTCAAGTTTGGAAGTGAGATTCTGCCTCAAGCGGAGGACTGAAACATCTCAGGGTTTGGTTTATTGCAGCTTCTGCAGTAATGTGACATGACCCGTAACAACGAACCCACAATCCCAGATTCACATAGCCCCCCACC